GGGGTACACCAAGAGAGAATGATTGGTTACTTAACCCTTTAGGCTCTAAGAGTGATCGTAAAAAGTAAAACTTCGTAAAACAGAGTGGTCAAGAGAATTACGGACATGATCACACAAGACGAAATTGCTCTATATTCTATCAACTTCTCCCCACTACTTCTGTAGGAAATGAATAGGAGCAACAAATGAGAATTCAATTTTTGATCTCACAGTTAAGGGAGTTAACTCAGTTTACTCAATCAATTTAATTCGGTACAGGGTGGCGAAGTTCAATTACCACTTGATTGCAGCCATATTGTATTGATCTAGGAGCTGCATCTCATTTTGTATTCGAAACAGAAATGATGCGGCGATATAGACCAAAAATTGTCTGATTTAGAATAGAACTGATGCGATTAAAACCATAAAGGGGGGATTACAGTTGAATTTTGGGGGAATTGGGGTTGAATTGAGAATGAAAGAAAGAAGAATAGAAGAGAGTATACACGTAAACCAGTTAGTCCACTATTTGGCTCATGTCTTATATGTACTTTAAGCCAAGCTGAATTAAATGAATTGAGATTGCTTCGAGATATTTCAAACATTTTATCTGTTATACAAGTATAATTCTTAACTCCAGTATACTTCCGAAAAAACCGTTTTTCATTTAGCTTCTACCTCATAAGTTGCACCTATGTGCAACTTATGACTCCGTGAAAGACTCCGTGAAATAAATCTACAACGATTTAGCTATGACTAACACGAGACATTAATCAAGTCAGTTTATGTGATACAACTCAAATTGCTTAGCAGCTTAACATCAAACTGGTGTCAGGTCGTTGACTTGTAGTTAACGCAACTAAAAAAGTCTAATAAACTACTCCACGAGAAACTAATCCATACGTCACGTACCTCTTTTCGCGCGCTATACCGGCAAACATAGCCAGCTGCTGGGATTCGTTCCTGCGGCACGCCTGTGCAAATCACACGTTGGGCCACTTTTTTTACCCACTATACCGCTCCCGATGCAAGATACGCTCTTGTTTTTTGCCGCTTTAAGGACAATTTACGCCTCTGTCTCGCTGCGCTATACCAGAGCACATGACAAACTAGCTTCTCGTTGCCTCCCACCCTCTACCTTCGCCTACTGAGCTCTTCTCCTTCCGTTCTACGTTATACTAGCAGGAGCCATGAGGCTCCTGATACTGTTTTCTGGGGGCAAGTCACCGCTGAATCCCAAAGTGCGAAAGAGTGTGTCTTCGTCCTGAAACTAATGTCTACATTAATTCAACTGGAGTTTACAAAACACACCAAAGGTGCGAAATTTCAAACACAGTAAATGAAAATTATTGCTGAAAAGAATACAACAAAATTTCATCGCCTGTGACTTAACTAGGAAAAAGAAGTTTTAAGTTTAACAAGATGTTTCCAGCTTGTTCTACCTCTTTTACTGTCCTCATTTAAGACGCCGTTTTTCTCTATTTCTTCTCTTTGTATAAATTGACGGAATTGTACTGGGTACACAGATAGCTAAACGTTCTCCAAGCAATACGATTGTGATCAGCCTAAACTTTCACAAGAATCCACAATTCATACTGATCTTTGGGATACTGATCAAGCAACTGCTGACTGCAAAATTCTTTTTTGAAACTCTTCCGACTCAACTTGCTCAACGGTAAGAAGTGACAAGCCCAGCTGATCCTCCTGAAAAAAAAATGTTAAGACAGTTATCCCTTCACTTCCTAGGGCCCTCTAAAATCACAATTCAGTTTAAAAGATACTGATAAACTATTAGCATGAACCCATAGGTAAAAGAACTCAGTGCTAAAAGGCTATGACTGCAAAACAGTCCGTTCTTTTATCTCAGAATCATACCATTTCTGTCCTGGATGGTTTGGCCAAGTGTAATAGGAGACTACGAGATTAAGTGTGGTCTATTGTCAACAACCAACTAAACGATTTGTTGTACTGATGAAGCAAAGGGAACTACCACCACGTGCCGTGGCCACACGTATATCTTGCCGCAAGCGAATAGTATATTATAATTAGTAAGACTTAAGGACTGATCGTGCGGCACAAAAGGCGGAAAAAATTTCGCGTAAAGCGCGCAAAGCTCACACGCCCTACAGGCGTGTAAGAGTTTTCTCAAACTCCGGCTCCAAATTTGTCGTTGCACGTACAAAAGGCATCAAGATTTCACATTGAACAACTCAGTTTTACCTTATCAAAAGGTTGAGCCATTTGCCTCAGGAATCTCTTACTGATCTGCGAAAGAGAAACGTATAGATAAGAAAAGAAAAAGCCACAGAAATGTTATTATAGAAGTTCCATTCAGTCGGAATTCTTCTAACTACAGGATTGGTGCCCACAAAAGAAAGCTTGGTATCAACTTCAGATGAATGTTTTGACACTTATAAAGCAATAATGACAGAGAAAATAATAGCTAGTTACGATAGGTCCCTACCTGGACAGCTTCATCAATAGAAAGATTACACACGCCTTCTTTGAGGTATTCCTGCGAGCCAGAACAATAAAACTCGTCAGATTTCAAAAGTGCTCAAAATATAATGAACTAAAGTTTGTTTGTACTAAACTATAAAAATTTTGTTAAAGCACTGACAAAGTAGTTTCATTCAAATGGTCACACCAAAGGGTTCTATTCATAGCTACGTTTGCAACGACGCTCTATGTGTAACTAACTACCCAGGTTAATGCTTGGGCAGAAAAGCAACTAAAAACAAACTTTTATTAATAATTTTCATCAGCCCTTTACCTGGATCCATTTTGGTAGCTTTCCTCTTTTGTCAACTTTAAAAAATCTCTGTAAAAGAAATAATAAACAGTCAGAATCTCAAAATAGTTGTGGACGAGCCGGAACGTGCTTCTGCCTTCTTCCGCGCATTCCCTCATTCACTCATATTCTGAATGGAACATTCATTTTCGTACAAGACGACACACGAAAAGTTGAAGGCCACAAAAGGAAATTTATTGGGTTAAACTTCTACCCCATCACTGCACCTCAGGGGGTACTCCGGATTTCAAGTGACGAAGATGATCGAAGGATTTTTTGGCGTTTGAAATTTTCGATTCCGGGATTTTTTTGGGTAGGGAAATTTGGCAGGTATTGTTTTGGGTGGCTTGATTTAAGAAGGGATTCTTTGGGTATTCAAAACAATGTGAAGATTCGTGGTAGTGCCCGCGTATCCCGATCACGCAGTTCCGCGAATAAAGTACAATCAAACTTGTTTTGTTTTCTGTAAACTTTTAAGGCTCAGAAATTCGGCACGGGATTTTTTTTTGTGGGGGAGGGGGGGAGGGGTAATTTTTGGTTTAGGGATTTTTTGGGGGTGTTTATTTTTGCCTCATTTCAATCAACCCCGTCACTTGAAATTTGGAATACCCTCCCTGGGTACTGCACAGACATGGTTCCTCCATAATTTTAGTCAGTCCACGCGGGTCAACCGTAAACAGATCAGATGAGTTTTCGTAGCAACAATCACTCACATGTCTCGTTCCACCTGCGTAGCTGGCCGAATTGTTTTTGCTCAGTCAAGCAAGCGCCGAATGCACGGATTTCAAAACGTCTCCTCCCCATTCTTCGCACGGCCTAGCAGCTCCTCTACCAAAACTTTGTTCGCGCTAACGATCCCACTGCGGGTTACGCAGATTATGTTTCATGCGAACAATTCGGCCCTAGAAAACAAATTATTACCTTGTCAGCGAACACCATGATTCCATAATCAGTTTTTCCCCGTATGGCTCGACCAACACACTACAAAAAATTAATTATGAAATAGAAATTTATACAAAAATTTAACTCAACCACCTACGCATCCTCGGAGACCCAGGGGCAGATAGTGGGGACGAGGGAAAGTCTAAACGGGCGGAAAAATATATATGGAACGAAGAAAAGTAAAGAACGGCGAGAAGAGCCCGACCCCTGTTACAGAATGGTCTGGTCATCCAAACGGTCGCCGCCGTTCTGGCTTCTGATTGGTGCCAGAAAACGTGTGTTTTTCTGGCACCAATCAGAAGCCAGAACGGCGGCGACCGTTTGGAACTGGTCTGGTAAGACATTGTCCCCAGGGGCTCTTCTCGCCGTTCTTTACTTTTCTTCGTTCCATATATATTTTTTCCGCCCGTTTACACTTTCCCTCTCCCCAACTATCTGCCCCTGGGTCTCCGAGGATGCCACGTACGTTCCTAAGTGTGCGTTAAAGGAAGAAAGCCAGAGTGTACCCTTAAAACAGATTCACAATTTGTCAAAACCAACCAATGTGCAGTTGTAGTCCTAATATCCTAGCCTCGAATAGAAACCGCGCGCAAGGCTGGAGGTGACCTAGAGTTGATCTGAGAAACCTCACTTTTTCTCCAATTTGAATCATGCTCTTATGCATATAAATGACACTAACATTTCTAGCAAAACAAAGCAACCCCCAGTTTCCACTCAAAGGCTCGCTTGCTTAGTTTACAACTTTAAATTAGTCTGTTAGATTGAAAGAAATGCCATTCGCCGGCAAACCGCCTTCAACGTGACATCGTTTATGAGATCTCCAGAAATTTCAAACTGGAGGGTTATAAAGTAAAATTTAAGAAATTTACCTGAGCCGCATGCCTCATGGCATCAAAAGTGAGAAAGTCGTTTTCTCTGATGTTAAACTGGTCTCTTAGATATTCAAGCCGCGCCTGTAGAAAATAATATAATGTAACTGATTTTGGTAGAGACTGTGAACCCTAAGCAGCGAACACAGCCGTCCCTCCTCGACACGTTTCGCGGGAGAGAAACTTCCCTAGCGACGAGCAGCGAGGACAGACGGCTGTATCCGCGGACTACTCGATCATCATGGGATCTTACTACTTCAAGGTTTTGAACTTTCACAAACAACCAATATTTTACAAACTGCAGCGTAGATGACTCGAAGAAATTCTGGTTTACCTTTAAAATCCTACTTTGCGTGTAGACGTATGGAATTCCAAACATGATAACTGCTCTTCCATAATGATGATCTGTGGAAAATTTTTATTGAGAACTTTAAATCAACATTATCTGAACAGTACAGTTAACCCTCGGCTAAGAAAAAGCCCTTAATAAAAAAAAGTGCATTCCTCTTCCCGCCAAAAATATCATATCCCTCGAAGGGATAGAGCCTTGTGCAATCTATCGGAATTCGGAAGTGACGTCAAACAGACACTGCTTTTCTTCGCTAGTTTGAAAGTTGGCTAAAGCAACCAAAACTGGGGTACTTTTGTCTTAAATTATCTTCTAACAGTGGCCTGTTATTTTGTTTGAATGTGTTTATACAACAAGTTTCGTTTAATCACATTCAAAAATATGTAAATTTCATAAGTTAGACTGATTATTAAATTAAAATTACCAAAATCAATTCCTTCCGAGACCTTTCCTCTAGCTACAGACAACAAAATGGCTCCTCTTCCATTTTCACAAGCCTAGATAAACAAGATGAAAATGGAATTGGTTAACTATTTTGTCTATGCAGCAAACAACCACAACATTACCTGATAAAGTAAATGACAAACATTGCTTTTTTGTGACAGTGTACCTTTTGGTAATTATGAAGAGCTAAGCTGGTTTCCGCTGCATCCTGAGTTTCAATAAACAGCAGTTTGTTTCTTTGAATGTTGCTGATAATACCCTGAAAATGGCATAAAGGAACATTAAGTACAGTCAACGCTAAGGCCATAGAAGGCCGTGCACTAAACAACTTTGAGCATGGCTGTTGTTGATCGTAAGGTAAGGTAAGGTAATCTTTATTTATGCACCGGTGAAATTCAACCAAGTACAAAAATATTCAACGTTCAAAACCTAAATTACATTATTACCGACTATAGGTGATTACAAATTACAATGAAATTGCTCAGTTTTCTTTAAAAAAGAAAAAATACAGGAACAGAAAAAAAAAGAGCTTGTTGGTAGCTTGAGGCAGATCTTTTTGAAGGTTGTTTCAGTGAAGACTTTTGAGTAGTTACCTGATCATGCCAAATAGACACGACAGCTTCCTGAAAAAGAGAACAGCAAACTGAAGATTAAGAACGGCAGAAACATGCACGCTATATAAATGAAACGGTGTTGGTACACGTCCCTCATCAGGTTCACTCGGTGAGCTTGCGTGGGTTGTCTGTGGTACTTCAGCTGTTACTATGCCAAAGAAGTCCTTCATTTCCCTCCAAATAGAGGGTTTACACCAGACGAGATTTTTACTAGAATCGTGGTGACGAATCCAGAATACTTTGGTACCAGATTCGTTTCGTCCTTTACACATCCATGCGTGAATTTTGAATCCGAAAACTAAAGTGAATACTTTGTATCCGATTACTGTTGAATCCCTCAAACAAATTGGCGGTAAACTGCGAGGTAACATCACAGCGACGGCCGCAAAATTGTGGCTGGATTTGAGTTCGTATAAAAATTGTATATTTTTAACGTTTCCGTTGCTGTTGCCACCGTGGTTGCTGAAGTTCCCTAAATTGAGCAGGCAACTTATAAATATCACTACCACGCTTTACAGTCTCACCATGTACTGGTAACTAGTGAAGAAACAGACTATCCCATCAGGCACCACTGCAGACATCTCCGCCAACAGGTTGCCATAGTTACGGATTACAGCTAGAAAACAATTGAGAAAATGGTAAATGCGTGGGTTATTACGAAGGCAAGGTCAGTAAATTGTGTCAAATCAATTCATCATTTCGTGGCAAAAGAACATTGAAGAATTCGTTACTCACACATATCATCTCTGGTTTCAAACTTCGTTGTAATGGCCACTTGGTCATTTCCTCTACCAACAATCTGCTCAAACAAACAAAAATGGTCAAGTTGTATGCAACATTAAATATTCTGGCCATTTACTTGTTTATCTGACAAGGGCGATCAGGTTTTCATTGCCCGATAAAATCCGATAGGCCGGGGGCTAGAGAGATCAAGCACCACGTGACAGCAAACGGCAAAGATGACCACGTGAATAATTTTTCTCGTCATTTTTTAAGTTCGCCGTTTGCCGTTTTCCACGAGAAGAGATTGGTTTTCACGTTCACGAAAAGCGTGAGTAAAAACTGATCTTTGCTACCCTTGTCGGACACATTAGGGATAATATGCACCAATGTATCGCTTTTTCAGTCATGTTCCACTTTGGAGAATTGTTGGAGGTGTGTTCAACGGAATTTCAATTTATTGAAAGCCCACTGTGAGCACTGTAAATGTGAGTGATCTTCGTTTGGAAGGCAAAGAGCTGTCAGTCTCGAGTCCATTTGGGGTATACGCTAAAGTTGAGAAAAAGAGAGGATGATTACCGACAGCAAACGGCAAATGGGTCTTAACCGTAAGCACGAAGCTCCATGTCCAACTGCTATTAAAGGACTTACTGAATTGACTTACCATTGGACAAAGACATATCCTTGCTAGTGTCATTGTAAATGTTGCCATAGTAACTGGTCTAAAATCCAGAATCTTAGGGTACATATCTATAGGCGACAGGGTCTGCAAGGACAAAAAGCGACGTAAATAAGGCAGTCAAAAGGTATGTTTACTGCAACAAGAATTGAACTACAGCTTGCATGAAAAAAATTTTATTATCACGGCCAGAAAATTGGAACATGACGACGTTAATGATAATGACGACGGTCATAACGAGGATGACAATGATGATGCAATGATAATGATGATGGTGACGTCAATGAAGGTTTCATTAACATTTGTATAACACTAAGGATGCAAGACCTAACTCTCCCTCTGACAATTAGCTGAGGGCTGTACAAAGGCAACCACTGGCTAAGCAGCTTGCCTACTAGCGTTTGTACCCACAAAGCATTATTTGTGGCGTCACAGAAGTTTTAGTCGTCTATTTTCCAGTTCCCTGGAAAAGGTTTCTGTATAAAGCAGAACAAGAGGAGTCACTCCCATTTTTTTCATGTTAGCAACGTTCGTTTTTAAAGGGGTTATGTCAAGCCACTGCGGGAACAAACGCTAGCAGATTTGCTGCAACGTTTCTACTGGTTTTAAGTACTGTTGGTTTTCTCTTAGCATGTTTACTCATCTCAGTTTCTAACCTGAGTTCAATCAGACTTCACAGCTGTAATTAGGCATCAACATCCAGATTCATGATTGACTTTAAAAATTTCTAAGTTTGATAGCAGGATGTTAGTGACTAACAAACCTACCCCTGATGTAATAACAACCGACTGGAACCTGTCAAAAACAGGTTTAACAGCAATAGATGCATCCATACAGCTAAAATGAAAGAAACAATGGAGCTATTAGACACTAGGAAATATTTATCCTATTTCTAGGACTGTTTTTTTCTGGAATAGAGTATGTTTCAAAGAAAAAAAAGCAGTTACGCCCTATAAAAATGTACTTAAGGTAAGGCATGTTAAACACTGATTTGCCAACCCAATCTCTTTGCACTTGTGAAATCACCAGTGTTACTGCCTCTGTGCATTTCTTTGAGAGAGTCAACTCGTCACCACGGAAATCGTCACTGGAGTTTCGTGAGGTCAAGATCGAACATCCCGCTTGGACGTCTTCGAAAAACTTCGGTCAAGTTCGGAAATCACTGATGACTCCTACTAACGAGTACAGTTAGCACTAGTACAGTCTACTCTCTCTTAACGGACACCTCTATAAGACGGACACTCAGAGTTGGTCCCTGCCTTTCTTTACTCCCTTTATTTGACTCTCTGTAAGACGGACATCTCTCTAAGACGGACACATACTGCAGGTCCCGAAGGTGTCCGTCTCAGAAAGAGTTGACTGTAATGACGTTCCCCTTGGCCAATCGGAAACGATAAATTTTGTTTGGTCAATACATGTAGTGTATTGGCAAATGTTCCTCAAAACCTTCTAAAGGAATAGTGATAAAAACGCCGTTGATAAGTATTGTTTCGAGTGCAAAGGCTCACCTGAAGTGAAGTATTGGGTTAGGTATGGTTGGTGTTCTGTCGTCAAAAGGTTCGATGATGAGGGTGAATCCTGTTTCAATAAAATAACGATAAGAAATGAGAAGTTGCAAGGTCAGTTAAACAACCACAGAACATTGATCAACCTGTAAATAAAAGTTGTGGAAGCCAGACCAAATAAAATATAATAGGCCCTTAAAAAAAGATTTAGAGGTAGCACATCCACATGGTGATTCTTCGTCTATCTGACTCCAGGTCGAATTGGAATTTGGAAATGTTGGTTTTTGAGGAGAGGAGAAAACCGGAGTACCCAGAGAAAACCTCTCGGAGCAAGGGAGAGAACCAACAACACACTTAACCCACATATGGCGTCGATGCTGAGATTTGAACCCGGTCCACAGTGGTGGGAGGCGAGTGCTCTCACCAATGCACCACCCTTGCTTCCCAACGAGAAAGTATTAGAACAAACTACTTAAATCTATTGATTTGGTTAAAAGAAAATTACCGCCTTAAAACAATTTAAAATTCAGATGTTTCGAAGAGTCAGGGCCAGTTTTCGGTCACGTTGAGTTTTCCTATGTCCCAGCCAGGATGAAGAAGTTGAATGAGTGAGTTTTCCTATCAGGTTGCTTGACGCATATTGTTATATTCCATTTCAAATATGTAATTTAAAGCACTGCTGTACCTTTGTTATAAGTGCTGACAAGTGTAGCAAAGTTAGCAATCAATGTAAGAGGTCCATAGTCCTGAACGTCTGGGAGTTCTAAAGTGTGCAACAAAGAGCTTAAACGTTCTGCACAGAATCTGAAAAAGAAAATACAAGAAGAAGAAGGCTAGTTGGTTAGCTTATTGAATGGTTTCCTCATTCCTTTTTGAGGCAGTTCAGTAACTTTGAAGAATAATCCAAATGTAGAAAAGGCTTTTCAAAAGCACGCACGGTTTTCTTTTAATACGAGAAAATTTATGGCAAAAATCAATGTTCAAAGCGTTAACAAAAAGACAAATATATGATACATTGATTTTATGGAATGAGATGGTGAAGGCTTTCTTATCTGGGTAAAAGGTTTCTAAGCTACGATCATATCTATTTAATTTTAGTTTAGATAATTATAGAGCCTTGGTGTAGTTTAAATGAAAAAATTAGCTTAATAAATAGTTGCCAAAAATATAATTTTACAACCAAGCCTGATGTACAGTACCTTAGAGGTTTCCTCTCAATGCACACTTGTTGAAGGATATGCTGTAGAAAGGACGGTGGAGTTTCCTGTACAACATGCTGTACTCTTAGACGTGTCTTCAAGTATTCAATAAATCTTCTCATAAAATTCACAAAATGTCCGGCTTGTCTGATATTTCCAGGTACGGTTTCTTCTAAGATCTCATCAGGTAATACAGGATTGGATAACACTGTGTCTGTTTCTCTTGCAGCACTCGCATCCCGCAATCCTTGAACAAGTTTGTTGTACTCTTCTCTCAATCTGTTAGCATCTCTCTCTTTGATACTTACAGAAAAAACACACACATATGTACGAATTAATATTAAGTCACTCATTCTCAGATTTGATTGATTACTCGTTAAAGAGACTCCATCACCAGCGTTTTTTCCATCATTTTTCGTTAAAACTACGCTACACCATGGTACACCCGCCCATGAACGATGAGAGGAGTGCAAATTCGCTTTCCAAGACGTGGAAAATAGAAGATGGGAAGTGGGTGGAAAAAAAACTTCCTGCATGGTATAGTTGATTACATTAACAGGGTGCTCGCAAGGAGGGGATTGTTTGAAGAAGGTTCTGTAGAGTGCTAAAAAATAATCATTTGTACACCTGGCTGTCTCACGAGATTACTGGGTAATACAGGATATAAATACCCCCGGTCTTCCTAAAGAAGAAACCTTAGGTTGGTCCACGTTGTTCAAATTCATTTGTTTTCACTAGCTCCCTATGATGGGGAAACCTTTCCAAAATCAAAGATACTTAGTCCTGTGACAAGGGACTTGACTGGTCTTGGCCCTAAAGCAAAGGTCATCTTAAAGTTGCTGTACTAACAACCAATCTACAGCAAGACGCAAGTTCTAGGGCAAAATCAGGAGTTGTTACGTCTGTTGCTCTCTTATCACATTGCCACAATATTTTCACCCTTACTTCTTAATAGTTCTTGCCAGTGACTCAACATTAGCATGACTTCTGTCCAGAGTTCTTCGTGATATTGTCACACTCATGGATTCGATGCAAACATTATCTGCAAATCACAACGGGCAAACAACATGCAAGCAATTACAGTGAGGACACGACAACAAAAATGTATTCAAGAATGGATACGGAACTAAGGAAAGACTAACTCACATGACTTGTCTAAATTTCAGAGAAATTTCTAATGCCAGGGTTTACATGCTACGTTTAGTCGACATGATCTGTAACTCAGGCATAATGGCCAATTCTCAGTGGCTACGATCTATTAGGTTGATCTTCCACCTACAAGCAAACACCAAGATGAAAGTCGACCTAGAATGGTGCTGATTTAAAAAATCGATTTTGTTGTGATGTGCAACAGGTTTTGCAACAATTTGGGACAATTTTTGTGTTTACTACAGATATGCGCCTTCTTTATAAGTAAAAGGTCTTATTATTTAGTTCAGAACTGGCCTTTTTTGCATGATAGTCTCCTTCGCAGCTTCTCGGGCTGGAGAAAATTTGTGACTCTGGCCCAAGCAGCGGGACAACTCAGAGTTCAAATCAGTCATAAACATGTCTGAATGTTATTTAACAAACCTTCAACTTGATGGACTATAACTATCTACCTTTATTATACTGTTGAAAATTTTTCCAACTTTTTTTACACCATAAAACCTCTGTCGGGAATCCAGGCTACAGAGGTACCAAATGTGAAACAGTTTGTACCTATATTGTGAGCCTCATCAAATACAACAACAGATGTCTTTTCCAATTCTTTAGAAACCAGGTCAGCTATTTTAGGATCCAGGAGATAATGGTAGCTGTATACAACAACATTAGCATGGTAGATCTGAAATGATGCATTAGAAAAAAAAGCAAGGTTAAGGCCAATAAAAATAAAATAATTCTGGAAGGCTTATTTAATTAATTAATGCTGTGAGTGGTGCCATCATATCTATTTTTTTTTAATTCTTTCAGTATCCCTTCAGTTGGTGTAGGTTATATGTGCACCTGCAATATTATTATCTGTGCATGTTTCATATACATTGGAACCCTGCTCTAGCTGCAGACACCCATTTAATATCAACACCTGTACATCACAGACAGTTTCATTTGTCCCAACCAAAAGCTCATATCTTATGTGAAGTTAACCTGCTTAATACAGACAATGGACATTTTCCTGTGTCCCAAGTCACAAATTCCCATATATCGTCAAACAATAATCATGGCAAACTAAACAATAACCAGTACTATTAAAGAAGCCCAGGAGTATATACTTACAGTATGTCTAGCAAGAAAATATGGACACCACCCTTTCTTACTGCCAACTGTTTTTAAGTCATCCTTTAAACAAAAAAGAATAGACAATCATAATGAAAACTTGTACATCTTCATGTAAAAGGACTTTCAAGGTACTTCCAGAATACACAACGATTCTCCTTTCATTCATTGCAATCTTTTTTTTTTTAATAATTATTATGTACATTTAGCTGCTAGTAGTTAACAGTCAAAATGCTAAAAGACTATATAATGAAAAATGATACAGATAATTCTCTTTATTAACAATCAGAACCATTTTCTACACATTGAAAGTATTAATATCACAGGGAACATCAGGCCACAGAAGTTCAAACATTGGATAGCGCTATCCAGCAGATCAATTTCTATCCAGTAGATAAGTAATAATATTAACATTATCCACATGGTAGAAATTTCTCCAGTGAATAGCGTCATCCAGGTACTGAACAACTGGTGTCAGAGCTTTATCCTTACCAAATTATAGACTCCAGGAGAAAGTTTTTCTTCCTTCCCATGGGCATCAAAGGACTGTAATACAGAAACAACAACAAAACTAAACAAATGAAACAATGAGTAATATATATGAAATATAGGAACTGTGGGGTGAAGAATTAAATGAAAGGAGATCATTACAGTTAGACCCAACTTTTGCAGTTTTTTTTTTTTCAGTCTTCCTTCTTGCAACTGATAAGGTTGCAATAAATAGATTTCTATACCTGTGATGATCGTCCAAACAAAGAAGCAAAGTAAATGGCCAAATACAAAATTTTCCAAAAATTAAATTGTTCCCTTGCGGGGCTTAAAAAAAGTCCCGTCGAGTAGTCCAGGACGAGTACTGCAGATTTTCTTGCTGGGCAAATAACTTTCAAAGATCACTTGCCGAATGGACAGGGGTGCAGTCAAGTCATCCTCCAACTAAATCATTAACTAAGAAGTGCCCTAGGCAAGCAAAATGTGTGAGCTGCTCACCTATAGGACCAGCTGGAATTCAAATTTTTTTACCCCCTGCCTTTTTATTGCCATATAATTAGAAGAAAGGAATTCAAAAACCTATGGAACTGGCTTAGTAAGAGCAACGTTATTTTACTCCCAGGGGCTCATCCTTTTATTTTGCACTTTGGCTAGAGCACTTAACTTTACTCCACAATAATGAACTCACAGCTACAGTAATAATTTCTTGCTTTATTAATAAAATGGAACCCTGCCTTACAGTCACCTCATTATTACGACCACTTTTTTGGCCGCCCGGCAAAATGACCATACATTTTCTTGTAAAAAAAAGGTTCGTTAATATGGTCACCTTGTTATTACAGCCAAATTTTTTTGGCCCATTGGTGACTGATTAACAGAGTTCCACTGTATTACTATACAGTTAAACTTGGACTAACAGTCACATCTCTATCATGGCAATAATCCTTTATGGTGCAGCATTAGGGAGAGAGTTTAAACTTGTACCTCATAAAATGAACAAACAGGAACAGACTTGTCTTCTTTGTGCCTTAAACGTATGTAAGATGCTGTTAAACTCAAACACTTCCCATCTACTTTCTTGCCTTCTCTTTCAGCGATAACCTAAGAAATAGGAATACTGTTAGTAGAGAAGTTTGGTAAATCAAGCAGTCAATATCTTTCACCAAAATTGGCCAATATATTTTTATGGTAACTATTGGCATATTGGGATATAATTATTGGCTAATTTTAGGTGTCAGTGCTTTAGACATGACCATTTAATACTTTAAGCCCTAAGAGTGATCATCATTCCTTGAATTAACATTGCTTTATAAAACAGAGGGGTCACAAGAACTATAAAATAATCACAAACAATGAAAGTGCCCAATATTTCAACAACCTCAATCAACCTGCTCTACTTCTTTAGGAAATGTATTGAGGCAACAGTTGGCAGTAACCCAGTCTTGAGGCATTTTTAGGGCGATATTTTGACAAACAACATGGGCCTGAACAGCAACATAACAAAGGCAGATGAAAATATTGGTGACAAACAACAAAATAGATATTTCAAGATAAGATGAAATCGTACCTGCAACAAAAATAAGGGCAAATAAAATAGCACAATACTGACTAGTACATGGCCTTCTTCTTAAAGTGCAAAACAAATGGCTTTAAATTTCAGACTAGGGACATCCCCCACCCCTAAGAGGGCATCAATCTTATGTGCGATTTTTGAAGGTTGAAAACTGACAGTTACATGCAGCTACCCAACAAGAAGAGGTCCTCTGATCATTCTAGAAAGATCAAAGGGCCAATCTACCCTTTAAAGTTAAGCAAAGTCAAAGCAAACCTCGGGGTGGATGCACAGATTTTTTCGTGAGCTAAGTCCTAAGCCTAAAATCTTTGGTCTCTGTCCTGTTTCTTTCTCATAATACTCCAAAAGCACTTTTAACTCTTCTAAAACCTACAGAGAAATTAATAACTGTTATAAAGTAAACAATAAAGTCTCTTAGGTAAATAAAATCATCCCTGTTTGCCTCAGGTTGCGAATTGGTTTTGACAGTTTTACTTTCTACTTTTAGCTCATTACCCATGTTCAAAAATACTCTTTTGTCTTCTACCAAGTAATATCACTGACACAGTTCATTATTACTTAATACACTATAAATTAAATGGAATAAATGATAATTATTAATTGGTAAAAATGTTACCAAAAAATGAAACTTGTTTGTTTACCTTTTCTAATTCTGGAACGGTGCGAGAGCAGTAGATGAGTTTGGACAGGTCCAGAGGTTTGGCCTGGAGGCAAGCATGGTCAGATTTGAATGTCATTAAATTATATGGAAATCACTTCATCATTTTTGCATAGTCAGTTGTAATAATGAGGGCATACCAAGCATACTACATGTACTATACCAAACCTAGAAGGTTTTGAATAACCCCCAAAATACTTACTTACACTGTACATCAAGGTACCACAAAAATACTTGCTAAATTTTCCTACCCAAGAAAATCCTGCAATGGGAAATTTCAAACCCCAAAAATCTTCTGATTAACCCTGTAACTTTAACTCCAAAGTAACCACTCCCCCCTCAGCCGGGAGCCAGCTAAACAAGTTGTATCATATATAATTACCAAAATGTAGGCAACAATCAAGGACAGGAGTGATATGGTTTTGCCAGTTCCAGAAGGCATCTCCAGAAGACAGTGACCCTGAAAATGAAAATCACATGCAATCAAGAGGTGTTAGAGAAAGTTTCAGAAGCATTAAAACTATGCCTAGTAAACTTACAATATGTAAAATTATCACATGTTTTTAAACCGAGAAAACTCAAATGTCATGGTAATTGTAGTCCTGGCCTCGGTTGTTCAAACGTTGGATAGCGCTATTCAACGTTTGAAAACCGGGGCCTGACAAAAGTTATTCTTGAGGCTGAAGGACTGCTACTTAAGTTAATGACTTTAACCCATCTATCTAAGAAGATAAAAGGGCCTTTGCTTATGGGTAACAAGAGTATGACAACAATCCCATTTCCAACAGGGGTGACTTGTTGGCCAGAAGAGAGCCGACTTTAAAGAAAGCACCCATTTTAGCTCATTCATCAAATTTTACAGGATCATTAGACCTAGTGGATCAGGGATTTCAATAAAAGCCAGTTACCAGAGGCCTATCACCACCCATGGGACCTCTTCCCACAATAGACCTTGTCACAGTTTTGGAAACCATCCTGACGAGTAGGCAACTCCATGAAAATAACAGGATTTTTTAAGAGAATCTAATGTCGAATAATTTCCATAAAACGGCTGTTCTGACAAAAAATTATTATGAAATATTAATCTTCACTCCTAATGAATCTATTGCAAAAAAACTGACGGAGTTACATGCGGCTAAATGTGCTAGAAGCACTTTTTAAAATTTTCTATACATTTGTCCGTAATGTTTCTTTCTGCCGACTAAATTTTCCTGGCAAAAATTGTAGACAAAGTATATGGAAAATCTAAAGCAAGTGTCTGGAGAAATCTAAGCACAGTTACAGCCCCCAAAATTTGTTAGTAGAATCCTTTGCTATGTGGCTTTAGTTTACAATTAATATTTTTATCAGAACAGTCGTTTTATGGAAATTATTTGAAATTAGATGCTCATAAAAACACTAATTTCTTACACAGTTGCCAACTCATCAAGATGGCTTCCAAAATTGTGACAAGGTCTATGCTGTTAAGATTTTAGGGAAAAGGCCCCTTTTTCCTGTCACAAACACCTACCGTAAAATTCCGAAAATAAGCCCCTTCATGTATAAGCCCCTCCAAATATAAGCCCCCCAAAATCGTAATGCAAAAAACCCTCCGTTAAATCGCCCCTCCGAATATAAGCCCCCCGGGGGCTTGTACTTGGAATTTGCCCTTGAATACAAAGAAAAACAAAGCAAAAATAGTAAATTTCCTTCCCACTACAAGCTAGCCCAACCGATTTTGAAACACAAATTTCCCTCCATACATAAGCCCCTCTGAATATAGGCCCCTCGAAAAATAAGCCCCTCAAAAAGGGCCTTTGAAAAATATAAGCCCTGGGGCTTATTTTCGGAATTTTACAGTATTTCACCATGCCATCAGCAGCTGTCCAATAACCGACGTGAGCCACATGAAAAAGGGAATCCATTCTTTTTCAATTATACAACAATAACAGTTTGGGTTTTCGGCAATTTTAACTATGTAAGCATAACACACCAGCTGTTTATTGCGAAGGAAAGCCACTCATCAGCATATCTCGATGCGATTTCTTGTACTACAAGTATTAAATTGTTAGCTTTTAAGCTTGCATAAGCAGATTAATTCGCTGATACACCTTTTTTGATAAATTAATTAGGCGAGCTTTCATGTGATCTTAAATTGTAGGTGTTGCAAAAGGATAGAACGTTACACATATCAGTGAGGCCAAAGGATCTTGCAGAAATCGGTCTTCACCTTGGCATCAAGAGTTCTCTTCAACTCCATCATATAAGAGTACTGCTCTGGATAAATATAGTCGTATGGAAAGTATACCAGAAGACCATCGATGTTTAGCCTAGAACAGAACAAATATAGATCTAAGTTCTAAGTAACTTTACTACGATTTCAAATGACTACAAAGAAATATTTTACTTCATTGTGGACTTGTCCTAAGCAGTTAGCTCTCTATAATTAATAAAGAAATTCACGAGTTAAGTTACGAGGTAATCAGTTGTGTCCACCATATTGCTGTTATGAATACTTTAGCGCATACTCTCCGTAATTCCGCTGTCCAAACAGACTGACAAACATAAATTTTTATCATCGATCTTTCCAGCAACTCTTTCCAATTGTTTACAACCGCTTTTCTTTATTTAAATTTTCAGCAGAGCTAGACAAGTCAAACAAAGAAGTCGTGCACTAAAATATAGCTCAATAATATGCAACAACGAAAACGTGAACCTTTTATAATTGTTGCCTGCATATGATTGGTGGAAGAATACAACTGCCATTGTTAGTTAAGCAATAGATCACACTTTCCATGGGTTTAGTCACGCGGAATGTTGGGAGAACACAAGAAAAACTTGTATATCACGAGCCGAAGGCGAGTAATTCACAAGCTTTTCGAGTGTTCTCCAAACATCCCAAGTGGGTTATCACGCCGGTAAACCCATGGAAAGTGTGGTCTATTTCTTTTATAAAATAACTTTACGGTTTCTATGAGTTTACCAGCACAACAAACCATATGTTTTTAACCAATCAGAATGCGCGTACTATCGTAGTTATTTTATAAACGGTTATATAACGCTGGAAATCAAAACATGCAAAGGTCACGGGAAGTCCGCACAAAAGTTCGTGACTTCTCTCAGGAAATAGTGGGGCTTTGGGGAATACAATAGTGGATTCCAAAGTACATGAATCACGATTTTCTTCAACTTCGGAGCACTAAAGATCTGTGAGCTAACGATCTGACTCTGATATCGCGAAGATTTCGAGTTTACAATGACAGGGATTAATGAGACGGATGACTTTAAGTTAGAACAACAACGGAGGGTTAATTTTCATGACGAGCCAGAAACAAGGCAGTTTTATGGCGAAGACTTGGTGGGTGCTGCGAAGACTAAAGGTAGCAAGGTTCCTGTTATACAACGAGAAGGGGCAACTATGGCAGAACGACAAGTTGATTTGCAGAACGCTATTATATGGCTTCGAAGGGAACTGCAAGAGATGCAATTACAAGACAAGAATTTAGCAAGACAGATGATCAAGCTTCGGGCGAGGATTAAAAATATGATGAAGATCGATGAAAGCGATGTGAGCGAATCAGACTCTTGAAACAGATAACTTTTGATGCATTGTGAACACGACAGAGGAAAATTGAATTCAAAACGTGCCCCTGAATTGTTTAAACAGGCTTTGTAGCGCTCTTACCTTATATTATTAAGCGACGGAACATCAAATATTTACGTTCAAACGTGGTCGAATTATAAGTTAATAATGACAATAATTCCACAAAGTTGATTTCTGTCTTAGCGGTGGTTTTGGTGGTAAGCAAATATGACCTTAAAACGTAAACACAAATTAATTGTATTTGAAAGTGTTATCTTTTGATCCCGTGCTAATTATTGATCGGGATGCAAAATACTTTGATATATTCAAAGAGAACTTCAGTTTCTACTAATCGAGACGAGTTATAATACAACTCTCACGAAACGGCTTATATTTATATATCATTATATGTATCTTTTTAGGTACGGCATATTTCGCAGGATTTCTACAAACCTACACGTATTGCGTATCGCGGTGATATCGCGAATTTGGGGGTTTCCCTCGGTGTAAAAACCTGTCAAGTTTTTCTTTGTTTTCTAGCTATTATTTTCCTTGGCTCTATTGTGTTGACTTCTCAGAGGCTTCTTTGTATTCATTGTTTTACGTCACAGGTTTTTACATCGAGGATGAGCCGATTTTTCGTTGCCTCCAAAATTTTTACTGCAACCGTAAATATTCTTGAATTGCTATAATTATTTATATTGTTTGGGTTGCAATTAATCAAACGAAAGTAAGGGGATATTTTTAACGAAATGTAAGTTTCTAGCTAAAATAGAATGTCTGAAAAAAATTCATATAATGAAAGCTCATGTATATACTACCTCAATTGTACCCTTTTTTAAGTGAAATGTATAACTATGAATGTTCATAGCACAAAACTAATTTCCTCCCTTTGTATAATACATTTAAAATGGGCATTCATCTAAAATAAAGCATTATACAATACAATTCTATTTTTTTTGTTTAATCAATTATTTATTGTTATTACTTTGCATCAATAACAAAATTATTGAATCTGATTGACAGCAGCCCTTAGGGATAGACCATTAGAAATTTTATGGGGGGGAGGGAAATTTTTGAGCCGCAGCAATTTTTTTTTCGTTGTCAAATTCCTTGTATGAAGTTTTTTTAGGCCATAGCATGAATATTTTTTAGGATTGATTGATGTGCAAGAATTGTTTTTCATTTAATTTTCCCTCGCGTGAATATTTTTTTTGTACTTTATGAGATTTTATTGAGATCAACCCGTTGTAATAGTACATTCTAAATTTTCTGGGGGGGAGGTTAACTGTTTAGCCGTTGCCATTTTTTTTTTGTTTTCAAATGTCTTATAACAAGCTTTTTTAGACCATGGAATAAAATTTTTTTTGGATTGATTTGTTTGCGAGAATTTTTTTTCTTTTAATTTTCCCCCGCGCGATTATTTTTTTTATACTTTCCCCCCCCCCCCCCCCCCCATAAGTTTTCTAATGGTCCGTAGCTTACCTGATGTAGCACTAGAACTGTCCAATTAGAAGCTGCTTGTAATTGGACGGGCCAAGTCAGACAGTTAAACAGCCAATGAAATCGAGCATCAAATGTTGATTGACATCCTAGCTACTCCATGTTAGTCCATGCTAGCCAATCAAAGCCAAGAAAAAAAACTTCGGTGAGCAAGTTTTCCAGCCTCACTTTGACACATTTATTTTTTCCAAAAAAATGTATTTAAAATAGTTCATGCAGTTGGAGCTCCATATTTCAATAGTTTCTCCAAACGTTTTAGCCATGTTTTTGCTTTGGAAGCTGGAAGTTATAAAGTGAGCTGATGTAATAAGAACTGTGTACTTTAATGAATAGTTTGTTATTGACACAATAAAACTAGTAGTTAATTTAGCAAAGACGATGGCATCGGTTCTCCATAAAGAAGTATGATGCAAAGTGGAAAAGCTTAAGTACAATAAGTCACAACTAGTGAAGAATAATAAGAGGGAGGGGAGGGGGGCTTATTAACTTTCTCCCACTGAAAAAGGGGGGGGGTTATTTGAGAGGGGAGCATAATAGAGGATTTACAGTATATAATTTGGTTGTCAGATTCAGATACAGTATGCATTTCTGCCCATAAATCCCGGCAGGCTGATTGAAAATACCACTTTTTAGTCCACACAAAGAGGAATGTAACCAGTCTGCCTGACTGCTGTTACTATAAACCTTGTCAAGCCTATAACCGTGACTATTTAAAAACGTTTGAAAGAATTAAGGAATACAGATGTGGATCCAGACTAGTTTTGACTAGGCGTTTGGACAGTAAAAATAGTTAGATCTTTGACAATGGAGGAAACGGCACCAGAAGTGACAGAGGTTAAAAATGTTTGTCAGCTAGAGTTCGCGCTTTCGGTGCCCTTGTAGCCTGTGCCACGTTCTCAGATGGCAGGGACGTCGTAAAAATAAAAAAAAGCTAAGCAAAAATTGTCTTCATTCCTCCTCGGATATTCCAGCATCACTTAGCTACCAGGTTTAAATAAAGGTAAAAGTTCAAAGGTGTTCGAAGAAAATGCCGTCATATGTGTTAATAATTTAGGAGCAAGTTGTCACACAGTCAGAGTACACCTTTTAGCGGTAAATTTTTTATAAGAGAAAAACAAGGCTCAAAGTTGCCCAAAAGTTAAGAACAACGTGAAAACAATCAAGGCTTAGCCTCGGGATCCAATGAAATGGTTTATTAACAAACCAAAATACATCAACATGAAGTAAACATATCAAACTAAAAGACAAACAAAGCAAATTTCTCATGTCATTGGATCTGATAGACCTTATTCACGATACCCGCAATCTTTGCACTCACTTTTAATAGGAGCAATGTCGCGTGGTATTTCAGGGGGCAATCAAAAGATAAAGAAATCGCGGTCGACTTTGTTTATTCTCTCAAAACGAAACGACGTTCATGCTCATGTTCATGGTCATGGAAAATGTACGGTTTGAGTTTCGACAAAATTAACGTCATTATTGCTTGCCGTGAGGACATCTACTGTCACTACTGCATCCAAAAAGTAAAAATGATCATTGACACCCATAATTTGCCATTATCGTCTTTAATATAAAAATTTGTTCATTTTCTGTTGTCAAGAATAAACAAATTCGACCGCGATTTCTTGTGTTGGAAAAATTTATCACTTGTTTGCCCCCTAAGAAGCCACGTGACATCGCTTTTATTCCATTAGTTCCTAGGCGCATGTAAAGAAGGCGGGCATCCTGAATAAGGTCTATTAAGACCCTGTTTACATGGAGTGGGGGACCCCGGTCTAGTGGGGTAAGTTTCTTTTGTTTTGTGTCCCCCAGAGCGTGAAAACAAAAGAAACCAACCCCACTAGACCGGGGTTCCCCACTCCATGTAAACAGGGTCTAAAAGAATTAGCTCCACCATCCCTATTCCTTGTCGACGCAAGTCGCACTATTTACTCTTTGTCCACGCGATCCATGCTTTGATTTCTATCGGCCTCTGTTCAGGGGGACCTTCCTGCAATAAAAGAGAAAATAACCTGTAACTGTAAGAGCATGTGATCGAGCTCTTGTCAAGATATAGTGCTCAAGCAAAAGTATCCATCTCTCATGCACTAGATCCATAATATGTCAGTTCTGCATGGTGGCAGTTTTGACGCCAGAATTATACTCAGACCCCCGACACTTCAACCAGCCGAACTGAATACGGACTTCAACTTCATTTGAACTTCTCAAAGTCAGCGCACGCATGTAACGTTAGTCTTTGCTTTGATTTATATTTAAACGTTACTCTCTTTTTTTTTTATAAGAACGTCCACTTCCGAGTTGAGCCTGGACAGTTCTTATTTTCTGGGTGGTTTCAGCCTGGAAATGAGTTCTTACAGATATGTTCTTAAATGCCAAAACGGTAATCTGATAACTTTTAAGCTACATATATAGACAAGATAAGACAATGATTATAGTTGTCATATATTAATGAATTGTAGAAGTACAATGTGAATATATTATTGACCATGTACAATAGGAATGTGTTGAAAGAAAAAAAATTTACGTGCACTATGATTCCATGTAGGACATTATTATGTAAGTCAGATTTTCTGGATTTAGGAAAGTAAAAGCAGTAAAAAATAAATTGTTTTTCTCTGAGCCTCGGGTATGTTCTTAGCATGTTCTTAATATTTTGGCAAATTTCAGGCCGAAGGTTCCCACAAAAAAGGTTCTTATAAAAAAAAGAGTGTACCTCGCTTGTGCTTTTTTCAGTTGCTTTAACCCACTGAGGAAGAGGGGGAACTTAAACCCTCGAAACGTCTGTTTTTTTCGTGCCCTTTCAACACACATTTTGATAAACTTTGTAAAAATAATCGAACTTTTGCGTTGCACAGTATTTTCCAATTTTTGCCAACAAGCCATCCGAGCGAAGACGCTCGGATGGCGAGGCGGCAGCAGAATAGAGCCGCGTAAGACTGGGCAATAGGCAGAAAAATTCTCGATCGAGCTGAAAAAAGTGTAACCCAATGTAATGTAGATTCCCCTGAGACCAAGTGGTCAGTTGTGAACCAATCAAAAGGTAGTACCCGGCGCACGGGCTCAAGTTGAATAACAAACAAAATTTCACACACTTCCCGCCGTCATGACTTCCTGTGTTTATTTACCTAAATTTTTTCGTCAAACTCGGCCACCGCAGTCAAGAGACATGAGCACTTGATATATTCTATTACTTTTAGGGGCCATAACGTTAAGTTTTAACGAAGAGAAGTTTGTAAAACAGCAAAAGTGTTCTATGTTCAGCAAGCAATATTCTCACCACTAAAAAGGATCAGATTACACGAGGAGATAAGGAAAGCTTGACACGAAGAATGCAGTCGCTTCTGTTGGAAAATCTGGTGTTGGGGAAAAAATCTAACCAGCGAACAAAAACAATGAGAACAAAAACGAATTACAAGCCTAAGCGAACAACAAAGGAAAAGAAAACAACGCCAGTTTTTTCGAAACCTGGCCGAGTTCAGGATTTATAAAAATAATGAACTAAAATTAAATACCAACGTGCCGTACCTCGCATGTCCTTGGAAACATTTCAGATGGCCCAGCGAATCATTCTAAGTTTCAATCCGGTAACTGAAAAAGCCTCGGGAAATTTGAAAGGAGGTTTAAATGATTAAACTGTGCAAATATTTATCAACAATGTGAAACCGAACCGACAGTAGATTTGTAGATGGACTTAATAATATTCCCGATCGCTTCCCCTGGAAAGCTGACTTCATTCTTTGAAGGCACTTCACACTTTTACATAACAGGTTTGTAAAGCCACCAGACTGAATCTGAGAACTTTTCAAGAAAATAATCCTTGCAACAGGAAGGGACCAAGAAACGGTCAAATGGGAAAAAAAAGGAATTTTATTCCTAAGCAAAATAAGCATGATTTGATCGTTGGCACTCTATCGATAGGTATACCTAGTTTATAACTAATTCATACTATATGAATAGCATGATAGTTTCAATTAGCTGCATACCATGTAATCGCCCTTTTTTTTTTTTTCTTTTCTTGGGTGCAATAAACTAGAAGGGAAAACATGCATAAACGTACGACATTAGCATATCCGTCGAACGACCAGCCTACATGAATGGGTCATTATTAATACAGAGTAACTACATACCACAAAAAGGGGAATCCGAAGTTGTTGGTAAGTAGAAGCGGCCTCGCCTTTTAGTACGATCAGCATTATTACCCATGCATGGACATTTACCATTACAGCTTGTGCAACTTAATTAACCACTGAACGTCCTTATTTGGTTTAATATTTCAAATACATAAGATTTTGTCTCCCGGCCCCTTCGTCAGAAAACGTCAACTGCAAGGAAGGTGTTACCTTTGATCGCAGGTTTTGGATAAGCACGTCCATTTCTATTAAAGGTATCCTTCAACAAGTTTTAAGGACACTGAAAATTAATGATATTAAAATGGCGTCGGGGATTTTGACACCATCTTCACATTTTTATCAAATTATAAACTCTTTCCTTCAATATCTGGCTAGGCTTGCTTTTTTCTCAGTAATGACGAGGAGATCTTCCTTTTGTTTTTTGAAACAATGATCTCTTAAGGGTGTATCCCTCCGTAACCTAACAACGGTAAAATTTTTCCTTAAATTCCGGCAGCGTAACTCAGCCGCAGTTTTCTCATGTTTGTTCGTCCTCATGGTGAGAAGTTCCCCTCATTACCTACCCTCACATTCATGTTCGCTCAAGCAC